GCATACCTCTAAACAAATTGTTTGACAATATGCTTGTTTTCTTCCTTACCAAGAGTCAGATAATAATGTACTGTAAATGCCACTCATATCCATTTATTACAGATATGAAGCTAAAGCCAGCAGGTAGTTAGCTTAGCTTAGCACAAAGAATGGAAACAGAGGAATTTGCCCAGTGGTAATAAAATCGGCCTTTATTTTAATCTTGATTTCCCAACAGAAATCCAGCTAATGAAAGAGAATCATCCTACACATATCACTGTCCCCGTCATTCCAGGTAACATCATGATGTAAGATAATATGTGGTAAGCACACATGACATGTCAGGGTGTGCGACATTAATACATCCATATTGCTTTTATTTCCTAGAAGAGGCCTGGGCCAAGCTGCTGGAGCTGTCTCCTCTGTTTCAGCTATTGAAGGTGGTGGAGCGACAGCTGAAGGGCTGGGCCTGTGGGACAGGGCTTCTGAGAGGAGAGCATGCTGGTAGGTGGACACATTTAGGTTAGCCTGTTGTTACTTGACTAATGAGTCTAGAGAAACTGTGAGAAGCAGTGTTGGTTTTTAATCAGGCTGATGGTGTGACTGTCAGCCCACTACTGGTCCAAACTAGAAATGTCCCAGTGAATATCTGATCTATTACTGTGCAAATGTATAGATATTCACGGCCCTTAGAGGATGAAATCTCTCTGACTTTGGTGATCTCCTGACTTATACTCTAGTGCCACCATGACTTTGACACATGCGGTGTTAACAGAATGGATTTTCCTAAGATTTGGTGCAAACATTCATGTTTACTCTAATTTCCCCTTTGGAAATCAAAAAAGTGTTGTTGTACCTTAGCTCAGCGCACCTTTGATGATCCTCTGATTTGTCATCCACTGCCATCAGGTAATATACACCATCAAACTGTAATTTGTCTGTAATTGTCAATCAAACTGTAATTTTATTATTAATTCCTTAAAAACATAGCCAACCTCAGCTGCGCTTTGTCACTAACCGTCTGTAGATGAGCAACATCCATCCATCCATCCATTTTCTAAACCGCTTAGTCCCAAAAGGGGTCATGGAGGGCTGGAGTCAATCCCAGCCAGCTGCGGGCGAGAAGCGGGGTACACCCTGGACAGGTTGCCAGTCCACTGCAGGGCTTAAATGAGCAACAGTTCAAGTAAAAGCAACTGTAAACAGTTTGCAAATGCAAGTGTGTCTGTAATTTGTACAGCTGGAGCATGGAAGAACTCATCAGTGGAAATCCCACGGTGGCCATATTTTACATTCAAAACAGTGAAATGGTGACTCTTTAGCAATTGTGGCGATCGATGGCTTCCATGGTAGTTGTCAGGTTCTGTGTTTTGTCCAGACAGAGGGAAGAGTTTTGCAGATGTCCTCGATGCTCAGTGGGAATGTGAGGGAGAACTTGTGCCTTTGGACCCTTCAGTCCTTAACCCAAGAGAGTTCCTGGTCTACCAGCATGGACTATTCCTCATGCACATGTTACATAATCTAAAACTGGTTGGTGCCAAAGTTTCATGCTTACTTTCAACCTTGTTGCTTATTTGATTTTCAATTGCTTTACTCTAACTGTATAAATAAATTATTTTCTATTTGAATGGCTAATGTCTGGTTATCATGTTTTCATTTTCACTGTGGGCTGAGTTTTAGCAGGCGTATTGTCCTTCTGTACAAAGGCTTGGTCTGTTGTTCCCTTTTCCAACAGACTCCAGCCGTTTCACTTCAGATAGCTGCTAGTCTCCCAGAAAACAACTACTTCCACAATGCCTTCAGAAATTCATTCTTTTATCAGGTAAACTTTGAGCTCTATCAAATTGTAATATAAGTTTTTTCTTATGTCTTCCAGTGCAATTTCTCAGTTGCGTGTTGGTATAAGTAGCATCACCAAGATAGGTAACTATCTGTGCAGTGCTAGAGCAACTGAACTGAACGAAAAGTCAAAATGCACCCAAAACAATAACGTCACATTACCTTAGAGATATTGTGATAGAAATGCTTTCAATATCACAGGATTTTTGAAGATGGTGTATTACCTGGCTCTGCTGCCAGTTGGTTTTGTGAACACCCTGTTTTTGGAAAAAAAAAAAAAAAAAAAAAGGTGTGTCTGCTGTGTTTGCGGAAATATGATAATCTAAAACCTACGCAGGCTGTAGATTTGAGTTTTTAGCATATCAGAAGCTGCAGGTTGTTACGAGATCAGCTTTATAATAATAAATAATAAGTGTACTGTTAGCATTCTGTAAACAGATGATTCACAATGCTCCGCATGGAATCTATCCAAATTTGTAAACACTGTGAAATCACTGTGAGACCATCAGTTCCTAAGACTTCCCACGCCCACTGAAGTCCATTTGGAGGACATTATGTGCTTTCTCCTTGATAAACATATCACCATTTGCTTTTAATATTTCCTTCTTTCTACTGGAATACTATAAGAAAACACTTTACATATACTGTTAAGAAGTCTAGCCTAAAACCATGTGTTGAATTTTGTAAAAAGATATCCTGTATTGTATACAAAATGCTAATTTGTAATTTAACTAGTAACTACAGCTGTAAGTGAGGTAAAGTAAAGCATGTTAAAACTAGCTTCCCTTACAACCTTGAAATGAAGGGGCTTTTCAGTGAGCAGCCTCAACAACGAAAGGCTTTATAGAATATCCGTCCCAGCTCTGCTGATCTCTGGACACAAAATACTTTCTGTCTCTGTTCCCCACCCTCTTTGGTCACAGAGCTCAGACTAAAAGCCTCTTCAAATCAGTAAATAACCAGCTAGTTAACACCCTTCAGCTTTCCAGGGTCATGATAAAAAGGTTGTTTTTTAGAGTAGGTCTTACTGTTTTAGATTCTTTTAGAATTCAGAGGAACCCTGCGATGGATTGGCGACCTGTCCAGGGTGTACCCTGCCTTTGCCCGATTGCCGGCCGGGATTGGCTCTGGCCCCCCCCGTGACCCCGTTCAGGAACTAAGCGGTAGAAAATGAATGAATGAATGAATAGAATTCAGAGGGACCCTATCTACTGCTTATGTACTGTAGTATGGTACATTGCTTTAATTTGCAAAACATACAACGCCAGCCCCCATCTAAAATTTAGGCCATTGAAAGTTCACATAATCAATCTTAAAGTGCAAACATGCATCCTGGCAGGCCTTAGAAATGTTTGTTAGGCTGAAGTAGGCACTTCTCCTCTTGCTTGCTCAGTGTTTTTACAGTCCTCTTTTGTATATTCCAGTTTATTGTAAAACTGAAAAGTAAATATAATCTTTTAATTTCCTTCTAAATTACATGTAATGCCGTGTGGCACCATGCCTGCTTTTTTAAAAACCTATTATCAGTTGTGCATGTATGTCTTTGCAGAACTGTAATGTTTTAGTGAGAATAACTCTGTGAAGTGTGAATGACTGCTCTGTTGACAGGAGGCAGAGGAGACTCTCTTTGTCCGTCGCCAGAGGCTGCAGTCAGTAGGAGGCTTCTCGCTGCTGCTGCTCCACTGTCTCGCCCATGTCAAAATTAAAGACATGAGCTCTGACTCTAGTCCTGCATTCCAGAGACTTTTCTTCAAGGTACAGACAGACATTTAAAGTGTGCATGACTCATTAACTCATCAGGGAAATACTGTAGTTGAAGGAATACATTTTTATATCAAATTTAGCTTCAAATTTGGCAGAACTTTGCCATTCCAAGTTTTGTTATGAGCTCACTGTTGGTAGGATGACTTTACCTGTATGACATTAATTGAATTGTTTTTAATTGGATATTATAGGTACTGCAGGCATGTCTGGGAGAGTTGTTTCAGGCCAGACTCAGCATGCCCTCCTCTGGACAGGAAGCCAATTTGTGTGAGTGGTTTCAATACCAAGGGCCTCCTTCAGGAGACCTAAAGGAGACTCTGTCAGATGCTCGTGCTGCCTCCCTCCTTTACAGAATTCACAAACCAAGTAGAGGATTGTTGTCTGAAGATGTAAGGACACAATATTTCCTCCACTTATGCATTTGCTATTGCACATGTCAGCTGTTACTGTAACATCACACAGATTGTTCAGATAGAACATGGCAAATTTTTTTTTTGGTCTATCAGCAGGCAGAATAATATTTATGAGTCAGTAACCAGAGCCTCTTTACATGTCTTTGTTTTGTGTCGGTGATTACGGGGGGCAGGAAGTTGAAGAACTTCAGAGGAAGCACCAAGAAACATCTCTGTTCTCCCATCTTGAAGAACTTTTGATAGAGAAGAGCTCTGAAGCCACAAAGTAGGACGAAGACCAGAAAGGGTACACATATGTAGAGACGTTTATACTTTTATACAGCATAATGTGCAGTGTAAAAATACAAGCTTTAGAATACATAGGTATTTAAGAAATAACAAAATGAAATAATAGTAACTATGTGTCACTATTTTTCATAATATATCATTTTAGAAAGGCATGCAAATGAAAGCATTTCATAGGAAGGCAGTGATAACTAGATAATGCACTAACTACTATTAGATTACAAGAGGTGCAATGCAGAGCCTGTCTGACAGGTTCACTATGGCCTCAAAAATCATGGACCCTCCAGGGTCCATGATGCAGTATAGAGAATATTATACTTACTGTCATATTTTAATTTCATTTTGGACTTTGTTTTGGACAGTACTAAACAATGACTATAACCATACAGCCACCTAAAACCAGTTTGCCACAACCTCAAAACATCTTTTCCACCAGAAACATTTTTTCCAGTTTGATTACATTTTTTTTTTTTTTTTACACAAGTCAAAAGCAAATAACAAAACCAGCATAACTGCCTTCTTCAGAAGGCATGGCCAAAAGCCAGATTCAGCCATCTGGTTCTATTTGGTGTTTGCGTGAGAGGATGAAGGGAAGTCAATATTAACAAAAACTTCACTGAGATTCTGATGCAATGAGCCGGCAAACACTGGTGCCTTCAGTGTTGTTTATTGTGCATTGAAACTTTGAGAGCGATGACAATGATGATTCCAATGATTCCACAGACAAGTGCGATGATGTTTAGTTTCTTGGCTGTTCTTGATGCATCCTCAGCTATAGCGGACTGTCCACAAGCATTAGCATCTTTTGCCTTTAAGAAGCAATGATCAAAATTAGTTCAGATTCACTTTTAAGACATCTTTGAACAGAAACATAGATCCACAAGCATGCAAAATTAATTTGGTTACATTATGAGCACAAATCAATCAACATTTAATCACAACAGAGCCAGTTTGAGATTTTTTGTCATGATGTTTTAGTGCAAATTTCACAATTTCTGACAAAATGTACCATGTTTTAAAAGACTAAAGATTGCTTGTATAAGTTTTGATTTTAGGGCGTGTAGTGGTTAATAATAAACCAGATTCCAGAAGAAATATGTAACAGAACAGTATGTACTTCACATATAAACATTATTGGTACTTATTTGAGCTGAGTGGTTATGGGTTCATTAAGATCATGTGAGTTGGACAATGGGCTTATGTAAGTGGTTAAGATGTTTCCTGTTTTTGAAGTACATCTCAGGGTGTTGTCTCCCGAAACTGGAGACAGGAAGCTAGGTTCAGAAATTGACGCAACAGCATAAGGAAGGCTGCTGACAAAAGAGTGAGCCTGGAAGAGAGAGGAGGACCATGCTGCAGTGAACAGTAAACCATGTACCTTTTGGGGACCCAGCCGGCTGGGGGAGACGCTGACTGACTCGGGACTGACAACAAAGGACCTGACTGACTGGTGCTTCTGACAATCGTCTTAGGCTATTTATTCCATCACAAAAGGAGAGTCTCTGTTCTCTGATCTCTGTTCTCTGTTCCCTAACTACAAGATTATGTGTTTAAATACTACTCTATTCAGAATAATTGTAATATTAAATGATCCTTTAAATTGTAATGGTTTGTCTGAATTAATTTAGTTGGTATCAC